ACCTCTAGTAATATATTTACTGAGAAAAATGGTGACGTGTTCAATACTTATTTTACCCGCTGTACTTGATGTATTCAGGTGCAACAGTTGAAATGTTCGGTCTTTGAAGGAGGGAACATTTGTGCTCTTCTTGATGCACCACCTGCTCAGTTGATGAGCAGCAGAACAAAACATGTCACCAGGCAGCTGCTCAGCTGCAGCCAGCAGACGCTCCCATCCCGAGCAGCAGTGGGACATAAAGCTGTCAGCGCCTGCAGATTTACAGCTGAGGGGCTGTGTGTGGAGGTGTGACCTCCCGCTGACACCGGGCCCGGCTCGGCACAGGAGGTCACAACAAGTGTGAGAGGGAAATAACTTTACAGCTGAGCAGACGGTGACCCCGAACTTCAGAGTCTGTTCATCAGGAGCAGCTCAGAAACCCATTTTCTATCTGAGGTGATGCCATCACGTCTCCACCACCTGTCAGCCTCAGCAGCTTCCTGTGGGTCTGAACTGCTCCGTTCACTGGAGGTGCAGGTCTGCAGAGACAAATATCTTTTAGAACTATCTTAAAGATTCACTTTGAATGGATTTTTCCCTTTGTTTTACTTGAACTTGAAGATTATTCTCTTCATTCTGACCCACAAAACAGAAACGCAATCTATTCCTCTGTTTTACTTCAATCAGAGACAAAAATCTCAACTGGACAAAAAATAAGATTTAAAATGTCCATCCATCCATTTCCTGTACACGCTTCTTCCTTTTCAGGGTCGCGTGGGTCTTAAAATGTAAATGTAGACTTCAAAGCTGTTAAACTTGTCAGTGACACGATGAAGATGAGTTTCAAACATTTTTGACCCACTAAAGAAACATTTTCTTATAAGGTCTGAAACAAGTGGAAAAAAAGCATCCAAAGTCTAAAAAAAAAAATAACTTTATAAACAATTAAAAACTGTTGATCACAGCTAGTTTAAAGATAAAATCTGACTCTTACAAAGAAAGAAGAGTGGATTAAGACTTTTGCACATAACTGTAGATGTTTTAAGTTGAAAGCTCATTTGAAAAATGAAATAATTAAATAAATAAAATAAGATAAAAACTGTTCTCAACTTAGAATCTGCTACATTTTAATGCTAAATGATCAAACTGAGTAGAATAAAACTGATCTGAATGAAACAGGAAATTTACCTCTGATGTCAGATTCTGCTCATCTTCTCATCAGTTCTAACTCTGAGGATCCACCTGAGTCCAGACCCTGTCCCTCAGACCTGCAGCCTGTTCCTCTGTCTGAGCTTTAAATCTGTTCATTGACCCACATGAAAGCAGGGTAACTGCTGCACAGCTGTGACATCACTTCCTGTCCCGCCTCCATCGCCCTCAGTTTTATTCTGAACAGAAGCCAAGAGGTCAGAGGTCAGCTGGGATGAAAAAAAATCACCTTTTCGGATTCACATTATTTTTTTCAGATATACATAAAAACATGATTTGATTTGATGCTAAATGATAAATAGTTTTATTTTTCATGAGCAGATATAACCGCAGGAGACATCAGAAAAAAATTTAAATTATAAATAAATAAATAAGGTAGCAGTCATTGATATGAATTACAGGATATCAATAAGCCCAGCATTTGCTGCCATTTTTAGTTGATGAACTTATTTAATTTGAGTAAATACAAATAGATGTTTGTCATTTTTGGTTTTGTTATGAGAATCTAATTGTCTTAAGCAGTTTTTAAGTCGGAGTGTTTTCATCAACAAAATTAAATAAGTTCAAATAAAATTCAATCAGAGCAGAAAAATAAAACATTTTATCATTAAAAATAGAAGTTTTTTGTTAAAGTTTAGTCTCTTAGGTGGACAGGTGGTCAGCTGACCTCTGCTGACGGACAGGAAGAGGAATCAAACTAAATAGGAAGTAGAATCAAGCTGATCAGGAAGTGGAATCGGTCTAAACAGGAAGTGGAGTCAGGCTGAACAGGAAGTGGATTCAGGCTGAACAGGAAGTGGAGTCAGGCTGAACAGGAAGTGGAATTAGGCTGAACAGGAAGTTGAATCAGCCTGATCAGGAAGTAGAATCAGCCTGATCAGGAAGTGGAATCAGGCTGAACAGGAAGTGGAGTCAGGCTGATCAGGAA